TTGAAACCATCCAAATACCCGGCACAAGGGAACTTCAACTGGACTACTTACAATTCAAACAGTGGATTGCAGTGCAGCCTTTTTACAAGAAAAAATTGACTCATTAAACTGAAATATTTGGCATATTATGCAAAAACAAAGCAAGGTACAAAATAGTAGGATTGTGTTTCTTGAAATGTGTATATATGAAGGATGGAAAGGATAGAGAAAACACTGGAACGAATTATACAAATATGTTAATAGTGTTTATTTTATGGATGGTAGATTGGTGGATGATTTTGAAAAAATTGTAGTAAATAAATATGTATTAACTTTTATAAGGAAAAGCTGTTAGGTAGGTGGGTGGGTGGGGAGGTGGGTTGAAGAGCTTACGTGGTGGAACCTGTCTGGGAAAGGAAGTACATGCCTGATCTGTGAAGGCAGAGGGAGGAGAAGGTGTGGGGGAGTGGATGGGGATGTGTTGGGGCGGCATCCTATACTCAGGTGAGGAACTAGTCCCTTCCTAATGTTGCGCTCTCTTGTCTGTGGTGGGTTTGGGTGGTATCTTTATCTGAAGGCTTACTGACCAAGAATTCTCCCCTGGCTAGGGTATAAGAGCTGGTTGTTTCTTTTCATTTCTTGCTTTTAAAATGGTGGAAAATATTTTCAGCTTTCCACAAAGGGCTTTGAAATCTAGTCATGGAGAGTACTCTGTCACCTCAGACTGGTCGTTAGTGTGCAACCTGTTTGCTAATAAACCAATGCAGGACCTCGATGTCAAAATGCTTAAAATGGTCAAATCAGCTGGGACCCTGTCTCTGCATTTGACATGCCTTTTCCATTTCCCAGCCTCATGCAGAACATAAACCTGAATGAGGAGGTGGCTCAACGTGAACTCTGGTAAATTGCAGTGGGTATCTAGGGATTGGGGAGCAGACACTTCTTCTTTTAACCTTTCAAGACCAAGAATCATATGGCCCAAAATCCACCACATATTGAACTTAAGGTATGAAAGCCATACAGTGTATTAAATGTGAATTTGAGACCAGGAATTCTACCCGCACTGACTCTATAAAACAGCCTCCCTTTTTCATAAAGCAGGCCCATAAACTGCTGCCAGCGAAGCAGAAAGACTCCTTAGGTCCATGGCTTGCTTCCCGTCTGGAGTTGTCAACAAACCCCCTTTATGAGTGGAATAGACCTCTTGTATGTGTCGAGCTTCTGGCTTTTTACAGAGTGTGTTAGGAGCCAGGCTAGGCAAACGTTAGGCGCTGTTTGCTGAGTGCATTTATTGCCTTTGCATAATTTATGAGCTGGAGGGGTTGACCATCATTCGTCTCTGCCAGGGGCTGGCACTCGAGGCTCCAGAGAGCGGAGCTGTAAATTGGATGGTGCGCTCCTGCTGAGCTCACGGCAAAGTCCTCGGGTCAGTATGGGAATTTAATACCAGAAATGGAACTGTTTTCTCAGCACACCATGTGGGCCCCAGTGCAGCAGAGACTGTTTTGGCAGACTCCACGACTGGCCTTGTCGAGGAGCTGTCACTCACCCGGCATGTTGTGTGGGGAGCCTGGGCATTTTTAATCGGCTTGGCATCCGTGCTGTTTCCATAATGGATACCAGTAGGTCTCAGTTCTCCACCATATGCTTAACTCTGGAGACAAGGTGCTTCTGGGTATATCAGTAATTACTTGATGCGGAATTAAGTGGACCTTGAAATTAGAACTGGACTGTTGGAAAGCAGAAAGCTTAACACTTGGATAGAAATAACCATTCCCAGGGACACACGGCTGTTAGGATGGGGGTGGGTGTGGACAGTGGTGGTTCTTTCTTGACCTCCCGACTCCTTCTGGCCCCTGCACACCAGTCCTTAGGGATGTGGGCAGATGCTATGCCACAGCCTTCAGCTGTCGCTGATTACCTCACAAGGCAGGCTGTGAACATCTGGGAACGTGAGCCTGCCTGGCAAAGCCCGCCTCTCTCCCCCACACCCTCCTGAATCATGCTTTGTCACTCTTGAAAATGTGCCCAGAACTTGGGGACCTCAAGGAAGGCTTAATTAAAGGCAATGGAAAATCACACAATTAGAACTTTTGTTCCTGATCTGTTGTTTTAGGCCTTCAAAGTCTTCATGTCACCCATTTTCTTTGTCAACCTGTTTGACTTTTTATAATAGAGAAATCCACTCACCAGGCAAAAGAAAGTAAGTTTAGACAGTCTGGGGTTGGAAGCTTGTCTGAAAATAATGCAGTTGTCCTTGGTTAAAGCACTGTCTCTAAAACTCTGATAACCCCACGGCTTTGAGGAGCCAGTGGAAAAGAGAATGTTATACCTCCTCCAAACTCTAAGGGTGTGCTCGGAGTCTCTAAGTGCTTATAGTGCAGAGAGCTCAGGCTGGAAAGAGGAAGTAGTCTCCAAATTGTGTTGTAACAGCAAGATGTCCACAGGGATGAGGTTTTTGTTATTTTCAATTGAAAACACTCATTTTTTAAAAAGATTTTATGTATTTACTTTTAGAGATGGAAGGAGGGAGGGAAAATGAGGAGAGAAATATCAGTGTGTGGTTGACTCTCAAGCATCCCCTGTTGGAGACCTGGCCCACAACCCAGGCATGTGCCCTGGCTGGGAATTGAACCAGTGACCTTTTGGTTCACAGGTCATGCTTAATTCACTGGGTCACACCAGCCAGGGCTCAATTGAAAACAATCTAATGGTAGTTTAAACATTAAGGTAACATTATTATCTGACCAAAAAAGCCCAGAGGCAGGCTACTCTGAGGTTAGTTCAAGTGGCTCAGTTGTGCCAGTGTCTTTCTTCCTTTAGCCCCATCATCTTGTTTTTGTACTTCAACTTTTAGCCTCCTTTTTGCAAGATGGCTGCCACAGATCTAATGACATCATCATGCAGTCACGTTCAAAGGCAAGAGGCAAGTGCTTCCTGCCTTTCTTCTTTTCGTGAAAAGAGAAAAGTTTTCCAGAACTCTCAGCAGACATTTCCTCAAGTCTCAGCCAAAACTGTATCTGGTGGCCGCCCTTAGCTGTGAGGAAAGTTGAGAGAGAGAGAGAGAATGTCTTATCTGTCATTTTCAATCTTAAAATTTCAGAACAAGGTACAGACTAGAGAGGGGATTGTGAGTGGCTGTGGGTATCTAACCAGTAGTGACTGCCGTATAAGCAAATTTATTTTCCGTTTCTGTTCATAGCAACATCAACTCCCACATCCAGGTGGCCACACTAAAAAACCTTGGCATCATCTGAGACTCATCTCTCTCACTGGCTTCCCATATCCATGTGTTACCAAGTCCTGTGGGCCCTACCTTCAGAATTGCTCTGCCATCTGTTCATCCCTTTCTCAAACCACACACCATGCTGGTTCAGACAGTGCAGCAGTTGCCAGACTGGTGTCCCCATGTCCTGCGTCTTTCCCTGCAGGGCACTCTCTCCTCCACCATGGAAAGGGTCATCTTAATAGAACGTTGCTCTGATGACGCCACACTCATGCTCAGGGTCTGTGTTCTGAGTCTATTTCCACAGTCATATGCCACAACAAACAATGTTTTGGTCAACCAACACATGTGACGGTGGCCCCATAAGATTATAATAGAGCTAAAAAGTTTTTATATTATTTTGTGACATTGTAGCTGTTGTAACATTGTAGTATGACTCTTTACTAATGTGTTTATGGAGATGCTTATGTAAACCAACCTACTGCCAGGCCTGTGGAAGTAGAGCACCTATAATTAGGTACAGCACGTAGTATTGATTGATTATGACTGTGTTGCAGGTTGATGTATTTCCTATACTTTTTGTTATTTTAGAGTGTACTCTTTCTCCTTTATAAAAAAAAAGTGTTCTATAAAACAGTATATGGTGTTACACCGGCCATGGCCTCATACATCCCATGTTCACTGCATCTGTTGGCTGCATCATTTTCTCTTGTGCTTGATTTAACTTCATGTTGTTTTATACAGAAACTTGCCATACAGGTTGTAGCCTGGCAGCAGTCAGCTACACCGTAGAGCCCAGGCATGTAATCAGCTACGCTGTTTAGTTTTGAGTAAGTGCACTCTATCATGTTCACAGTGAAATCGCCAAACAACACGTCTCTCAGAAAACACCCCAGTCGCCAAGCAGTGCACAGCTGTACTGCCAACCTGAAAGCCACTTCAGGGCCAGTTCTGTGTCGTGTTTGAATATGTGTTTAGTTTAGCAGCGCTCGTCAAGGGCAGTTGAGTGAATGAGCAGACATATTACTCTACCGCGCACTTACTCTAACAAAACACATGTCTTCTTTAAAAATAAAATATTGTATAATGAAACATTCTTGCCTTTTTTCCCAAAAATGTGTTCTCTTTTTCCCTCTTTTCTTCTACTGAGGAACCCAGTGCTTTGAGTTTGTTAGCATTCCCTGGGTATCCCAGACCCAGCTCTACAGTTGGCGTTTGGGATCTGTTTGTTAGACATGGTGCGAGTCTACCACCATAAAACTGGTTTTTTGCCTACATTGTTGATCTGTTACCCAGAACTCTTCCCCCTGCCATGTTTTTTATAAAGAATATTCCCTCTGTTCTCTGGGCCTTTCAGCCCTGGAAGAGGCAGCCATCACTGATGCCGAGCCTCGCCCATTATGTTCTCTTTCCTTCCAAGTCCACACGAGGGAATGCAGTGCCCAGAGGTTCTCCTCTTGGCTTCTAGAAAAGCACCAGGAGAGAGACAGCCATCGACATTGGCAGAAGGTAGAAAGCCTCCATTAAGGAATTGATTTTGCTCTGATCCCACTGGACTATCTTGACTCAGTGGGCACCCCCGCTGTGACAGGGCGGGCAGCAGAGTCAGTCAGCAGAGCCACTGCTCCGCGTCTTGCTTCTCATCTGCATCAACCAGCACCTGAACTGAAGGGACCCTTCCAGCTCAGAGAGCTTTTCCTGTTTCTTTGTCTTGCTGCTTTTTTCTGTATCAGAAACAAAAACCTACTCAATTTTCACACTAACCCTTATTCTCTTGTTTTCCTTTTCTTTTCAGTGTGACAGCGACAGTGACCAGGAAGAGAAGGTAAGACCCCCCCACCCCACAATTGTGGGCACAGCATACAACACACTGTGAGCACTGTGGTCCCCCCCACACGGCTGCAGGTGGGGGGTGCCAGCTTCATGGTGGGTGACAGTCCCTTCCTCATCTGTAAAGACAGGCTTTATTCACACAGCAACATTTCCCATTATAGGAAATGACATTTAATTCTTAAAGTCCACTTATTTTAAATAAGCCCTTTAAATATTGTACATACATGACACTAAGTTTTTAACTTTATAGAAGATTAGAAAAGAGGAAATTGTTTATTTTAATAGCCATCTGATTTTTTTAAGATCTTTGATTGGGACATTCAACGTGATAGCATGTACTTATAATATTGTGTTTTCATTTCTTCTACGGCTCATGTGCTTTTTCCTGCCTCTCTGAACATGTCAACCTTCTTGGTGGAAACGTTAATGGTGATGTTTCTAGGAATGTCATCCTGAGGTGAGGGCGGGTCGGGGAAGTCAGGTGGATGGCCAGGTGGGAGGGCAGTTCTTTCAGCAGGTACACACCCTGTGTCGAGGGCCACCAGCCTCTGTGTGTCCAGTTCACATGGATCAAGAAAGGAGTTCTGTTTTTGAGCTTTGAGGAGATCGGATCACACCGCCTGGTAAAGTGAACTTCCTGCTGCCTGAAACAAAGGGGTCGCTTGTTTGTTTGGTCTTTCTTTCTAGATGTTCAAATCCCCCAACCAAATTTCTTTGCAACTGTATTCCTACTTTAGGTATTTCAAAAAGCATTACCTGAATATGATGGTTTCTGAATTACTTGACACCAGAAGGAAGGGAGTAGTCCCCCCTTCCCCAATTTCTGGATCTTTCCTGTGGAACTAGTCTTCCTGAGCCCTATTTTGCGACTGCCCCCTCCTACGTGCTTGTTGATTTTACTCAGAATCTGCAGTTCGCATTTAGTGGGATCTTGCCATCAGCCCAGATTTTTCCCTCCTTCTCTGCTGCCAGCCTCCCAGAGAGATGTAAAGGCTCTTGTTCTGCACTGTTGTTAATTTGAATTCAGCATATGTAGCCTGTTAGAAAATGCGAGACATCATCATTTGAGCAGGTCAAGCATATTCAGATGAAGACAAATGGTGCTTATTTGATTTCCTTAAAATCAGGAAATGAAAAAAGTGCTCTCTGGAGAAATCATGTTCTGCCTGACTTGGATGATAGACCAATGCATGTCCCCCAGATAGGAACAGACTCTCGCCCTGAGGTTTTTATCTCTGAAGGACGGCCAGGACTGTCAGCTTGCTGACATGTGCATTATCCATGTCATTTTAAACAAAGTGACCTGCGGAAGGGTATGCTGTGCTGTGACATGGTAATGGGCTGTTGGATGACAGCAAAAGTACACACTGAGAAGGGGGCTGTGGATTATTCTTTTGTTTAACTGACAAGTAGGAGCTTCCTAAGTGCAGCCCCCGGAGTCTCAGCTCCTGAGGAGCAGGTCGCCTGGTGTCTCAGGGCCAGCGTGCAGTGGGTGCCAGAGGCACATGGATAGCAGTAGAGGGTGGCCCACTGCTGCTGTGGAGCCATCGGGCCAACAGTCCCACATGGCCGTCCCCATCACAGGCACCCAGGGAGGGATGGCACTTTCCACCATTCCGGGAGCTCTTCTACAAGTGATGGTTCATCTCACTTTCCAAGGGGGTGGCACTTCTCCAAGGGGACAAGCCTTTAGGGTTTCACAGCCAAGCAGACATTCTTCCTTCAGATGACACTGTAAATTCTGGAAGTGTTGCCGGTCTCCGACGGTGGTAGGAGGTGGTGAGGGTGTCCGGTTTTGCATTCCGTGTAGGAGTGGTGATCGGCAGTCTCAACCTTGAGCGCACATCCGCATCACCAGGGAAGCTGTAAAATCCCGGGCCTCATCCCAGGCCCATTACCTCAGAATCTGTGGAGGTTTCTAGCACCACTTGTCTAGATGATCATCTAACTAGTAATTTTGGGAATTACCAAAGCTGCCTGTGGTTTTCAGAGGTGTTCCCCACCTACTGAAAACACCTGAACTAATCCTTTCTGGGGACCTGAATTCCCAAGTCTTTGCTGTTCAGTCTCTGAGTACGGGAAGCAGTGAAGTGTCCAGCCAGACTGCTGGGCGGTGGGAAAGTAGCCATTGCCCACCACTCAGAGTTTAGGATGACTTCAGGGCAATGAGGAGAATAAGGAGTTGTTTAGGGGCAAATCTCCCCACGAGTGGGGAGATGACAGGGGAACGGGAAGAGCGTTTGCAGTGTTCCTCTGTCCTGTGCACACTTCCTGTTTCCGCTGCTCCCCTTGTTTTTCCTGTGGACTGTGGTGGCCCTGCAGGTCCTGAGATGCCCCACAACCCCACTCACATCAGCTGTCCCTGCTCCCCACCTTCCAGGCATTCCTCCCACACGCTCCCGGCAGGAGCAATCAGGACTCCAATTGTGGCCGTGCCTGCTCAGCCCAGTTACAGTTGAGACTGTTGGGTTTCCCCTTTTGGACTGAGATCGTCTGGTGTTTATCGCTGGCTTTAATACCATCCTCCCAGACTTGTGCTCTGCTCCAGAGCCAGGGCCCCTGTCAGCCTCCTCTGTGCTGGAGCCTCTTGTCTGGGCACCTGTCAGAGCCCCCAGCTAACTGGGGCTGCTTTTCTGTGCCGCTTGGAGGATCCGCATTCCAATCTAAATTGCTAATGGTGGAAAAGATGCCACTCAGTGTCCTGGGATTCCTTCAGCAGCCCCGCCAGGGATGCTGTTGGAGGCGGGAGTGAGACTCACAGGGCACCCACTGGGAGTTCTCTCTGGAAGGCCTGTCATTCTCTTCCTCCACAGGGATCTGCAGAACCAGCGGTCTAAAATTAGGGCACTGTATTTCACACAGCTGACTAAATTAAGATAAACTCTGCTTTCCTCTGATACGAAGCTGTAATTTATAAAATGATACCCTTACTAATTAATGTGGAAGTGACTGGGAAAGGGACTAAAAAAGCAGAGCTTTCCATAAATGCTGAAAATGTACTTGTGCGTGGAGAAGGCTTTGATGAGACACTGAGCAAAGCATCTCCTTAGCCTCCCCTCCCAGCCCAGAGAATATGTTTTACATAATATCAGAGAGCCTGGAGGACTTTGCTGGAGTAGAAATTGGGCAGGGCCTTAGAACAGGCCGTGAACACTGCATCTTAGACCTGGGGTTGCCTTCATGGTAGTTAGTGCAAAGGGAAGAGGTCATGCTTGGCACCTTCATCACCTAAATTAAGGGATTATTCCAATCCCCCACTCAAAATAAATTGGTATCACAAAAACAAAGAGGCTACACATACATTTCCACATATCTGGCCTCTATTTTCTCTTGCTTCCTCTCTTTCTCTACCACTAGCGGGAGACCATTATGCCAAGAAACACCCTCCTATTTGGTTATGAAATTAATGTGAAGATGAAAAGTAATTCTCTCTTTATCTACTCATTTCCCTTACACTGTGTAGGCTGAGTGGCAGCGCTGATTGGAGGGCATAGTGCCCAGCAGTCCAACACCTGGGCCCCTGAGTACAGTGGCCTAGGCTGCTTTCTGACAGTCCCTTAACATTTTGCAACTGTGGACAAGCCTCAGTTCTCTCACCTGCCAAATGGGGATAGCAGCTCCACCCGCAGTTTTGTGACAATTCAATGAAGACACTTGGCTGCACTTGGCTCAGTGCTGGTCCATAGTATGTGCTCCATACCTGTTAGTTTTCATTAGTTTTACTTGGGGTAAAAAGAGAGAGAGCCACTAGGGGTTGGAGGAAGCCCACGCTCCTCTCAGAAAACTCAAGCTCTGCCAGGAAACCTGCCAGGGGAGTTCAGGTAGGATCTGCTTCCCCTGGAACCTGAGGCTCAGCCTGTGTCCTTAAGGGCACTTCTTCCTGCTGTAAGCTGTGTGGAATGGGAGTGAAATCCAGAAGGGTCCCTAAGCAGTGTTTTTTGAACTCCTCGTCTTAAACGTCAGGCTTTCTTTTGGGCATATCCTTGGAGCCAAGAGCAAGCATGCTGTCCTGAAAGTGCCAAGTGGCATTTAACTGGACTGTACAGCCATCGTCCTACGTGCCAAATACTGTCAGTTCCCAGATGCCCATCACTGGGGAGCCATTCTGATTCAGTCCAGCTGGGGTGGGGCCACAGCATGTGTGGTTTTTTTTTTAAGTTGCCTAGGTAATTTTGATACATAATTGGTTTTGAGGATCACTACCTTATAGCCAAGGTCAAAGAGAAACTTACACTTTTTCATTGTTTATGCTCTTAAACATTTGAGAGCTCAGAGGAAAGACTTGAAAACTGTAGAGACATTTCTGTACATGTACCCACATGCTCATGTTTATAGATGTGTCGCATAGTCATGCAATATAAACATACACAGTCTTTTCATGGATATGGACTCTTCTCATTTTCCTAATGAAGCTTTTACCATGAGTCCTGACTGCAATTTGTCTGTCTGAGCCTTTAACCATTCCAGAGACCACCTGGAGAAGGTCGCTCAGCTCCTCTCACCAGTACAAGGGACCGACTCCTGGGGCCCTGGCTAATTGCAAACACAGTACCACTCACTTTCCACATCAGCTCCCTTGCCCCCAACATGCACATACTTTTTGGGTGCATTAGAATTTTTTAATTAATGCTAAATTTGTTGGTTTGATCATTTTTTCACTTGTGTGGGAAGGATGCAGTTTCTAAGAAAAGCAGCAAGAAGACCAACAGAGGTTTATGTTCCTAACTCAATGCAAACCGCATGCCTAACTTGGCTCCTGAAGGACTCAGAAAGTGCTGAAATGTCAAACGGAACACTGGGCATGTGGCTTGTGCTTATAGTGGAAGAGTCCCATCTCTTGGTTGGCCACATTTCACAGCTGGTAAAGATTGTGCACCCTCAGCAACATTCCAGAAGCTCAAAAGGCCCTCATTGTTGCTTGTAGAACCCCCATCTTTGGTTTTGAAATAAGGCATATTCTGCTCAGGAGACAACTTAGAGATACTGTCCTAT